AAAGAATACAACGATAAATACTATACGAAAATACCCCCTAAAAGTCCCGTTTTAACCCCAAAAAAACCCGGTTTTTGAGTTTTTTTTTTTTCATTATGCATGCGTGCTGCAGGTTTTTTTTGGGTGCACACTGACCACACAGACCCATTCTCTACATGGGGGCCCCTACCAGCTTTCTTCTGCTTGTTTTGAAGCCGCTAGAATTATTGAGTACACTTTATTTTTTTTTAACAAGTGGGCCCTTTTCCCCCGAGGCGGGGGGGGACCCAAAAAAAAAAGGGAAAAATACCATAAAAGAAAGAACTTTCATCCCCCATTAAAACATTTTCCCCTCACCCCAAAAACATACTCACTGGTTTTGCAGGGTGCTCAAAACACAATAGTTCAGAAGCATATATATATAGTTTACACAAAATATCCCCCAAACTGCTAATTTTCCTAAAAAAAATGGCTCGAAAACAGTATTTTTTGACCAAAACAGTCAAAGGGTTAATAAACCCCTGGTGTTGTAGATAGACTTTAAACCCCTTTAAAACCAACCAACCAGTCTTAATGACCCTTGTTAGTAAAAATGGGATTTTAAAACCCCCATTAACCCAAACCCAAAACCAGTTTTAAAGGGACCCTGTGTAGTAGTTGATTTTAAAAACCCCTTTAAAAACCAACCAACCAGTCTTAAGGGACCCCATGTAGTGATAGCCCTTTAAACCCCCATTAACCAACCAACCAGTTTAATGACCCTCGTGTAGTAGTTTGATTTTTAAAACCCCCTTTAAAACCAACCAACCAGTCTTAATGACCCTGTTTTGTAGATGGGATTTTTAAACCCCTTTAAACCCCAAAAAACCCAGTCAATGGCCCCTGGTGTAGTAGAAAGTTTTTAAAAACCCCTTTAAACCTCCCAACCCCAGTCTTAATGCCCCCATGAATAGATGGGGATTTTTAAACCCCCATTAACCAACCAACCAGTCTTAAGGGACCCTTGTGTAGTAGTTGGGATTTTTAAACCCCCCTTTAAACCAAACCCAAAAACCGGGTCTTAAAGACCCTCGTGTAGTAGATGACTTTTAAACCCCCCCCCCCCCCCCCCCCAACCGCCCTTAATGACCCTCATGTAGAAAGTTTAGATTTTTAAACCCCAATTAACCAACCAACCAGTTTTTTAATGACCCTCTTTGTAGTAGTTAGTTTTCCCCCCCCCCAAACCCCCCCAACCAGTTTTAAATTGCCCCTCGTGTAGTAGTTGATTTTTAAACCCCTTTAAACCCCAACCAACCAGTTTTAAATGCCCCGGTGTAGTAGATGTTTTAAAACCCCATTCCCAAACCCAACCTGTTTAATGCCCTAGGGAAATAGATGGGATTTTAAAACCCCCATTAAAAACCAACCAGTCTTAATGCCCTCTTTGTAGTAGATAGATTTTTAAAACCCATTAAAAACCCAAAACCATTTCTTAATGACCCTCGTGTAGTAGATAGACTTTAAACCCCATTAAAAAAAACCAACCAGTCTTAATGCCCCTGTGTAGTAGATAGATTTTAAAAACCCAAATTAAACCCGAAAAAGCAATGATAAAATATAAAAAAATTAATTTTTTAAAAAAAACTTTTAAAATAAAAAAGACTTTTTTTTAAAAACTAACACAGCAATAACCCCCTGGCAAAAAAATTAACAAGAAACAAAGAGACTATACAAACTTTTATAAGAGGGAGCAGCACCCAGGTTTAGAGCCCCTTTTGGTTTTAATCTGAATTTCATTCATGACCCTTTAATTCTGCGTCACTAGTCAGACGAATCCCATTCACATCATCTAAAAATTTAAAAATTGGAGATCGTCACTTCAAAATTTTTGTGTTGTTTTTTGGATATACAAATAATCCATATAAAGGGAGAGAAGGGAAAATGGATGTTAATGGAATGGATGTTAAGGGAAGGGATGTTAATGGAATGGTTTGGTTAATGGGAATGGATGTTAATGGAATGGATTTTAAATTTGGGAAGGGGAGGGTTAATAGAAGGGGATTTTAATGGAATGGTTTTTAAAGGGAAAGGGGATCTTAATGGAATGGATTTTTAAGGGAAAATGGATTTTAAAGGGAAGGGATGTTAATGGAAGGGTTTTTTATGGAAATGGATTTTAATGGAATGGACCTTAATGGAATGGATCTTAAGGGAAATGGATGTTAAGGGGAATGGTTGTTAAGGGAAAGGGAAATTTCTTAAATGGAATGGATCTTAAAAAAGGGATTTAAATTTGGAATGGATTTTTAAAGGGAAAGGGATTTTAAAGGGAAATGGTTTTTAAGGGGAATGGATTTAATGGAATGGATTTAATGGAATGGTTTCTTAATGGAATGGATCTTAAGGGGAATGGATCTTAATGGAATGGATCTTAAGGGAAAATGGATTTTAAGGGAAATTGGATTTAAATGGAAGGGAAATTTTAAAGGGGAATGGATTTTAAAGGGAAATTTGATTTTAAAAGGAAAATAGTCTTAATGGAATGGATTTAATGGAATGGATTTTAAGGGGAAGGGATTTAAGGGAATGGATCTTAAGGGAAATGGATTTTTTAAGGAATGGATCTTAATGGAAGGATCTTAAGGGAAATTGGATCTTTTTGGAAAGGGAAATTTAATGGAAGGGGATCAAGGGAAAAATGGATCTTTTTTGGAATGGATTTTAAATGGAATGGATCTTAAGGGGAAGGGGATCTTAATGGAAGGGATCTTAAGGGAAATGGATCTTAATGGAGGGGTCTTAATGGGATGGATCTTAATGGGATGGTTTTAAAGGAAAATGGTTTTTAAGGGGGATGGTTTTTAATGGAATGGATCTTAATGGAATGGATCTTAATGGAATGGATCTTAATGGAATGGATCTTAATGGAATGGATCTTAATGGAATGGATCTTAATGGAATGGATCTTAAATTGGGATGGATCTTAAGGGAATGGTTTTTAAATTTGGGAAGGGAATTTTAAATTGGTAAAAAAATTTAATGAAATGAAGTTTAATTTTTAAACTGTGCAAAAGATCAACTTTTAGTTTCCGTAACGCTCCAAAAGAAAGATATATTTTTTTTTTTTACATATTTCAAATATAACAAAAAAATGCAAAAAAAAAACTTTTTTTTTATACATTTTCAAATGTAAAAAAAAAAAGATTTACGGTTTTTTACATACTTTCTAATGTTAAAAAAAAGGTTAAAATTTTACTTTTTTGGACATTTTTGGGGGGTTTAATAAAATTAGTTACATTTATTTTATAAAGCAAGAATAATGCTACATTTAATTATTCTTAAAACTTTAAAATTTTTAAATCAAAAAAAAAAACAAGTTTTGGGGACCGGGATTTAGGGTTTAAATTTTAAGGGGGCCCCTTTGGGCCCTTATGATGGGGTTACTTTTCTGACGACCCTAAGTACGTTGAAAATATTCATATAAATTTGTTTTCTTTTTAAAAAGGGAAGAGCCATATCCCCCCCAAACCCGGGGTTTGCCCCAAAAAAGAAAAAAAAAAAGTTGACCTTTTGAAATTGTTAATTTTTATATAGGAGAAGGGGTTACTAGCCTAATGCCCCCTGTATTTTATTTCCCTTTTTGGGCCCACGCATGGCTTATGGAAAAAGGGAATTCTCTTATATTTCCCCATGGTGATAATAAGAATTTTTGTTAAATAGTAAAAAAAACAAATAATTAATGTAACTAAATATCAATACTAAAAAATTAAAAAAAATGAATAAAAGGGTTTAAATCTTATCAATAAATGTGCGTACAGAAAGTCGTCAATTAAAAACACGTTAAGAATCTTCTGTATTGTGTATAATATTTTTTATTTATGTTTATTGGCATTTTCATTTTTTAAACAATTATTTTTGCATTTCATTATTTTTAAAATTACTGCGATAATATTTTTAAAAATACACAATACAAAAGGTTTTGTATGTTTTTTAAGTTGGGGTAATCCCTGTGCTGCGGGCTTCACTACGGGTCCCATCATAAGTTAAAATATCACATGTAAAACCATGGGCCCAAACTGGGGGATCTGTATTTTTAAAATTAAAAAAAAATAAAAGCTATTTTTTCCCTTTTTCTTAAAACTAAAGGGCATTATTAAGGCAGAAGAGTCTCAACTTTGGCCCTTGCTTTTTATAATCAAAAACCCCCTGTTTTTTGCGGCTTATTAGACAACTTTATTTTTTCAAAAAAAATTTTCTTAAAAAAACCAGCCTGTGCTGGGGGCCCTTTTGGGGGTTTTTAACGCTCCGCTTCCACGGTGGGGCCCCGGGGTTCGTTTCCCAGCCAGAAAAAACATTGGACTTTTGTTTCTCCCCAACCGGGTTGTCTAGGGTTCCCCATAAAGAAAAATGGGTCCCTGGGTGTTAGTCAATGGTGTGGGTCGCACCCGGGTTTTAAGTGGATGGCGTGGGTCACTTTCCGGGGTGTTAGGGGGATGGGTGTGGGACATCCGGGGTGTTTTGGACTGGTGTGGGTCACATCCTGGGTGTTAGGGGGACTGGGTGGGGGTTTCAAAACCGGGGGCACTGCCCAAAATTTGGGGGCCAAAAATGCGGGGCATATAAAGGGATTTTTCTTTTTAGTAGTATGTCATTGTTGTCGGGCTAGGGACGGTATACCTGTTTTTTTGTGTAAAAAAAGATATTTTTATTATTTTATTATGAACTGAAGGCCCAGTGGACGGGAGCAAAAAGTCTGAGGAAAGGGTGGGCGGGAGCTTCCCTGTTATGTCCAAATGCGGGACCATTGAAACTAAAAAAGTTTTTTTGCCACGTTTATAAGCCAAAAAATTACAGTAAGCGCAAAAACCCAAAAGGGCCCTTTTAAAAAACTGAAGCCGGGAACCTGATTTTCGCCAGAGTTTTGATTTACCGTCCATCAAAAAAACTGGCAAAGGCTTGCCCCTCAAGGGCCGACTCCAGCGGAGGGGTTTTTCCCGGTGATCTTTAACCTCGAACCCCCTGTATTGCCCCCAACGGGTTTTTTAATGGTCAATTCTTCTACCTTGTAAAAAAAAAAAAATGAATTTTAAAATTAAATTTTAATTTAAAATTTTTTTGGGAAAATTTTAATTAAAATTAGTCAGGAAGTTGAAAAAAAAACTTTGTACAAAAATTTAATAATTAGTTGAACCCCAAATATGAAAAAAACACGGCATATGTTGAATGAAAATTTTTGATTGAATAATAAAAAAAAAAAAAAAAAAAATTTTCCATTTACATTAATTTTTTTAAATCATCAGCTTTTTTCCCATTGAGGCAATTGACCTAAAAAAAGAAGAAAAACTTCCACCATCACTCACTTCTCACTGTCTATTCCCGGGTGTTTCCAATACTACAGTTCGAAACTACAAATATCCTCCCCCATCCTGAATGGAGGTACTATTTTTCCCCCCGCCAGGAAATCCCGTCCACCCATTATATCGAGTGTAATAAGTTTAAATTTTGAGAAGGGATTTAGGGGAAATAGTTAGCCAGACATGAAATCCTGGAGGTGGGAAGTACGTGGCCCCGTTTCTCTGAAAGATGAGTGAGGGGTGGGTTCGTTCTGGAGGTGGGGAAATTTCAGTACCCGTTTTTGAAGGATTTAGTGAGGTGTTAAGTTCTGGAGGTGGGAAGGGCCCGTTTTCTGTACTCTGAAAAAAAGGTGAGGATGTTTTCCCTTTTTGGGGTGGGAAAACAGTACCTGTACTCTGAAAGGGTGAGTGGGATGTTACAAATTCAGGAGGGGGGAAGTACAGTCCCCGTACTCTGAAAGGTGAGTGGGATTTACAGTTCTGGAGGGGGGGAAAAATTTCAGTAAATGTTACTCGGAAAGGGGGAGTGAGGATGTTACAGTTTGGGGGTGGGGAAGTACAGTGTCTGTACTCTGAAGGATGAGTGAGGATGTTACAGTTCTGGGGGGTGGGGAAGACAGTGTCTGTATCTGAAAAGGTGGGAAAGAGGATTTACAGTCCTTTGGGGGGGGAAAACCCGTTTTGTACTCTGGAAAAAGGGGGAGGAGGATGTTTCAGTTTCCCGGGGTGGGAAGTACATTTTCTGCTCTGAAGGATGAGTGGGGTGTTACAGTCCGGAGGGGGAAGTACAGTTTTCTGTACTCTTAAGGATGGTGAGGATGTTTTCAGTTTGGAGGTGGGGGAAGTTACCGTAACCCGGTTTTCTAAGGGTGAGTGGAGGATGTTACGTTTTTGGAGGTGGGGGAAATACGTACCTGTTTCTCTGAAGGTGAGGTTTGGGGTGTTACAGTTTGGAGGTGGGAAAAAAACAGTTTCCCGTACTCTGAAGGATGAGGGGAGGATGTTTTCGTTCTGGAGGTGGGGAAATACAGTACCGTATTCTGGGAAAGGTGAGGAGGATGTTACAGTTCTGGAGGTGGGAAAATACGTACCCGTACTCTGAAGGATGAGGGAGGATGTTACAGTTCTGGAGGTGGGAAGTACCGTACCTGTACTTGGGAAGGGGAGTGGGATGTTTTCAGTTCTGGGGTGGGGAAATACATTCCCGTACTCTGAAGGATGAGTTTAGGATGTTACAGTTCTGGAGGTGGGAGTACAGTACCTGTACTCTGAAGGATGAGGAGGATGTTAAAAGTTTGGAGGTGGGGGAAATACAGTACCCGTTTCTTGGGAAAGGGTGAGTGGGAGGGTTTTTGTTCTGGGGGGGTGGGAAAAAACAGTGCCCCGTACTTGAAGGATGAGTGAGGGGTTCAGTTTTTGGGGGTGGGGAAATACAGTACCTGTACTCTGAAGGATGAAATGGGATGTTACAGTTCTGGGGTGGGAAAGTACAGTGTCTGTACTCTGAAGGGTGAGTGAGGATTTTTCAGTTCTGGAGGGGGGAAGTACAGTGCCTGTATCTGAAGGATGGTGAGGATGTTACAGTTCGGGGGTGGGAAAAGTACGGTCTGTACTCTGAAGGATGAGTGAGGATGTTTCAGTTCTGGGGGTGGGGAAATACAGTACCTGTACTTTTGAAGGATGAGTGAAAATGTTACAGTTTTTGGAGGTGGGAAGTACGTGTCTGTACTCTGAAGGATGATGGAGGGTTTCAGTTCCCGGGGGTGGGAAATACAGTACCCGTACTCTGAAGGAGGGGTGGGGGATGTTACCTTCGGAAGGGGGGGGAAATACCCTACCCGTATCTGAAGGATGAGTGGGTGGTTTCAGTCCCGGAGGGGGGGAAAATACAAATACCCGTACTTTAAAGGTGAGTGAGGGGGTGTTAAAATTCGGAAGTGGGAAAATTTCAGTACCTGTACTCTGAAAAGGGGAGTGAGGATTTTTCAGTCCTGGAGGTGGGAAGTACAGTACCCGTACTTGAAGGATGGGGTGAGGATTTTTACAGTTCTGGAGGTGGGAAGTAAAGTGTCTGTACTCTGAAGGGTGAGTTTTTGGGGTGTTTTTACTTGAAGGATGAGTGAGGTTTTTACGTTTGGAGGTGGGAAGTACAGTACTGTACTTGAGGATGAGGAAGGATTTTATAGTTCTGGAGGGGGGGAAGTACAGTACCTGTACTCTGAAAAGGATGAGTGAGGATGTTCCCGGTTTGGAGGTGGGAAAATACGTACCCGTAATCTTAAGGATGAGTGAGGGTTTTTACAGTTCTGGAGGTGGGAAAGTACAGTGCCCGTACTCTGAAGGTGAGTTTAGGATGTTAACCCGTTTTTGGAGGGGGGGGAAGTACAGGGCCCGTTTCTCTGAAGGATGAGTGAGGATGTTTCAGTTCTGGAAGGGGGGAAGTACAGTGTTTTACTCTGAAGGGTGAGTGAGGATGTTTACTTGAAGGATGAGTGGGATGTTTTTTTTGTTCTGGTGGTTTGGGAAATACAGTACCCGTCTCTGAAAAGGGGAGGGAGGGTGTTATACTCTGAAGGATGGTGAGGATGTTACAGTTTTAGGAGGGGGGGAAGTACAGTACCTGTACTCTGAAGGATGAGGGGGGATGTTATAGTTTGGAGGGGGGGAAGTACGGGACCTGTACTTGAAGGATGGTTTAGGATGTTTACAGTTTTTTTGGAGGTGGGAAGAAAAGTTTCCCGTCCCCTGAAGGATGAGTTTAGGATGTTACAGTTCTTTGGGGGTGGGGGAAGGGACAGTACCTGTACTCTGAAGGATGAGTGAGGATGTTACAGTTCTGGAGGGGGGGGAAGGGACAGTACCTGTACCTGAAGGAAGGGGTGAGGATGTTACAGTTCTGGAGGTGGGAAAAATACAGTACCCCGTACTTGAAGGATGAGTGAGGATGTTACAGTTTTGGGGTGGGGAAATACAGTGTTGTTACTCTGAAAAGGTGAGTGAGGATGTTACAGTTCTGGAGGTGGGAGTACAGTACCGGGACTCTGAAGGTTGGGGAGGAAGTTAAGTCCTGGAGGTGGGGAAATTCGTACCCGTACTCTGAAGGATGAGTGAGGATGTTAAGTTCTGGAGGTGGGGGGAAATACCGTACCCGTACTCTGAAGGATGATGAGGATGGTTTCAGTCCTGGAGGTGGGAAGTAAAAGTACCTGTACTCTGAAGGATGAGTGAGGATTTTTTACAGTTTTTGGAGGTGGGGAAATACAGTGTTTTGTACTCTGAAGGATGGTGAGGATGTTATTTCTTGGGAGAGTGAGGTGTTTCAGTTATGGAGGTGGGAAGTACAAAACCCGTACTCTGAAGGATGAGGGGGGTGTTTTTAAGGGTTTTGGAGGTGGGAAGTACAGTACTGTACTCTGAAGGTTTAGTGAGGATGTTTTAGTTCAGGAGGTTGGGGAAATAAGTAAACCCGTACTCTGAAGGATGAGTGATAATGTTACATTCTGGAGGTGGGAAAGTTTCAGTACCCGTTTCTCTGAAAGGGTGAGGGGATTTTACAGTTTGGAGGAGGAAGTTTCAGTGCCTTTTTACTCTGAAAGGTGAGTTTAAATTTTTACGTTCTGGAGGCAGGAAGTTTCGTACCTGTACTCGGGAAAGGTTTAGTGAGGATTTTTACAGTTTGGAAAGGGAGGAAGTACGTGCCTGTACTCTGAAGGTTTAGTGAGGATGTTAAAAGTTCTGGAGGCAGGGAAATACAGTACCCGTACTCTGAAGGGGGAGTGTAATGTTAAAAGTTCTGGAGGCAGGAAGTACGTGCCTGTACTCTGAAGGATGAGTGAGGTGTTTCAGTTCTGGAGGTGGGAAATACAGTACCTTACTCTGAAAGGGTGAGTTTTTGGGTGGTGTTACAGTTTGGAAAGGGGGGAAGTACAGTACTGTTTCTCTGAAGGGTGAAGGGGGGATTTTTACGTTCTGGAGGTGGGAAGTAAAGTTTCCTGTACTCTGAAGGGGTGGGGTGATAATGTTTTCAGTTTGGAGGGGGGAAAATTTCAGTGCTTACTTGAAGGGGAGTGGGATGTTACAGTTTTGGGGGTGGGGAAATCAGTACCGTAATCCCGAAGGATGAGTGGGGGAGGGTTTCGTTTTGGGGTGGGAAGTACAGTACCTTTTTACTTGAAGGATGAGTGAGGATGGTTTCAGTTTTGGAGGGGGGGAAGTACCCGTTTCCTGTACCTGGAAAGGGTGATTTATAATGTTTTCAGTTTGGAGGTGGGAAGTTTAAATGCCTGTATTTTGAAGGATGAGTGAGGATGTTTTCAGTTTGGAGGTGGGGAAATACAGTACCCCGTAAATCTGAAGGATGAGTGAGGATTTTACAGGTTTGGAAAGGGGGGAAGTTTCAGTACCTGTACTCTGAAGGATGGTGAGGGGGTGTTTCAGTTCTTGAGGTGGGTACAGTACTGTACTCTGAAGGAGAAATGAGGATGTTACAGTTTGGGGGGTGGGAAAAAAAAAGTACCCGCATTGAAGGAAAGAGTGAGGATGTTACAGTTTTTGGAAGGTGGGGTGGCAGTTTCCTGTTTCTTGAAGGATGAAATGAGGATGTTTTACTCTGAAGGGAAAGAGTGGGGGATGTTTTAAATTCTGGAAGGGGGGGAAGTACAGTACCTGTACTTGGGAAAGGGGGTGAGGGGGATGTTATAGTTCTGGG